ATCTTAGCTGGATGATCTCTATCTTTTAAAAAGCAATAGAGTTTAGCGATTGCTTGGTGTTTAAACTTTTACAATTAAATCTACCTGGCTATTTTCAAGTTTCCCTATTTTTAAATTTATGGAAAGTTCTGTCTACACTTCATTTTAAAAGCTTATTTCTTTAATTTTATTGTGAAAAGTAATACTGTATTTTTTATGAGAATTTCTGATATCCAAACATTTATTTATTATAAAGTGGGAAATTTTCACTGTCTATAAAACAAACTCTTCACTCTCTTTATAAATAAAAATACTAAAAATATTAATGAGGCGATACGAAATTTCTTTAATTTAACAGCTTGAGAAAACATCCATTATAATGGCATGCATAGCTAGTCTCACCAAATGCATGTCATATGTGGTAATTTCTCTAAGAGAAAATTCTTTGCAGCCGAAGCATACGTAATACAGTTTATTAAGAAGAGAGATAAAATTACTCTCTTTATAAATTTATCTACTCCTTCCAGCCGAGAAAGTGGTTAGTGACTCTGATTGCCGAACCGAAGGCCCCTGGTTCGAATCCCGGAGAAGGCATGGCATGGTTATAATTTGTCCATCCCTTTATAGGAAACAACGGGGGCTCACCTATTAGGTGCCTCCATAATAAAATGACCACCGTTTTCCGGTCCTAGTAGTAGCCAATCCCGTTAAACTGTATGATAAGTTATTTTTCTTTCAGTTCATGTAATCTTAGTTTTAAATAAAAGTTTATTACTGCATAAAAGCTTTTTTTTATTTCTTTAAATATGTTTATGAGCGAATGAACTGTTAAGCAAATTTAAAACTTTTTCTCACATCAGTGATGTGTCTAAACGTTGATATGCAAGTAGTTTGTAAATTAGAAATTAATATAGTTTTTTTATATGCTTAACAGTTAAAGTGCCTTTAAATAGTGGTAAATTTAATTTATGAAATAAGGACTTTTTATAACTTTATCTCGTGCTTTATCTTTATAAGTAATTTCAGAGAAAGAGCCATCATGCAGAAGTTTGTTTCATAGACATTTCCTTGTTTAATAGACATTTCCTTGCGCCTTTTCTGCTCATAAAAACGCATAAAACTAAAGAAATATAATTTGAAAATAGTGATTTGTAACATTCTAGCGCGAGTGAAACGCATCGTAGAATATGAGCTAGAATTGAAGACAAATAAGTAAAATGAAAGTAAAAGCTACATTTTGCGGCCGTCTTTCACTCTCTTTCTCTCTCTCTCTGCGGAAGTCCAAGCACAAGAGTAGGATTCCCTTTTAGCAACGATGATGCATTCTCTCGGAGGAAAAGTTAAGAGAGGCGGCTTCATTCAAATAACTTTCCTGGGGTGATAGGATGGAATTTTTTTGATATTTCACGTGTATCTACCTCAGGTTCTCTTAGACCTCTCTCTTCGATTGGAAGGAATAAGTGAAGAAACTACAAGATCGAAATTTGGATGAAGAATACTTTTCTGTGATGTTCTGAAAGAAAACAACTTTCAGCTTCTTTTATTATTAGATAATACAAAATTTCATCAAAAAAATAGATCCTTTAGAATTTTCTTTTTTGTATTGCATACTTAAAGTTTTATTCCTTAAGCAATTTTTAAAAATCTAAACGTTTGATGAAATACAAAAAACAATTAGCAGGTGTTAGACTGACGCCTCTTTAAAAAAAGAATTTAATCTTTCCTTGATACTTTTCTTAACATATCGTAGCGAACTTGTAGCGATGACCAGGCGTTTTCTACTTTTTAGGTTTTAACGTAAACGTTGGTATTATTTTGTTATTAATCTACAAAATTTACAAAAAATCTAATTTGAGACATCAAATTTTGTAGCATCATACCTATTCCCTTAACAGTGATCAGATTTTTTTGTTACCATCTCGTTAACTGAGTAGAAGTTTTAGACATTTGTGTTATAAAAGAAATTTGGGATGAAGCTGGTTATTAAATGCAGAAATCAGTCTCTTTGCATTTTTCTACAAATCGAATGGCAAAAACTTGGAATGAATTGTCTAGATTCACATAATAACCGATATTATATTCATAATGCTTAATTCACTCATAACCGATAATCTAAAATGTTAATTCAGACGTCAAAAAACAAAAGTCAGCGTTATATTTTCAAAATTATCATAGGACTAGTTTCGATGGTTTTACCGAACCACCATCCTCAGCTGCAAAACTGCAAATGATTTTGTTGTTTCGCTCATTTTTGTTGTTTGACTTCTGAATTAGTATTTGTTATTGTGTCTTAATCTAAAATGTATTTCTAAGACTTTTATAACTATACTCAGCATTTAATAAATTGTAAAGTATTTCCTCCCTTCTTCCAGCATGCCTTCTTGGTGTAACAGTAGCACATTCCGCGCGTATTCGAGACAGGTTCGAATCTCGGCGAGGACATTGCTCATTTTTTATGTTTGCAGCATCAAAAAATCTAATGATTCTTTAATGGTACCAGAACTAAAAGGTGGTGGACGACAATTCGGCAACACCAGGATTTGGCGATTGGGCCCCCTTACCCTAGTTACGCTTTAAAAGGCGAGAGTATATAAGATATTTTCTCCCTCTTTTCCGAATGCCTCCATGGTGCATACTCGATGCGTTTTCGAGAAGTTCAGGGTTAGAGTCCCGGCGAGGGCATCGCTCATTTTTCACATCAGAAAACCTAATTTCAGTGGTGCCCGAACTAAAGGTGGTGGACAATAATTCGTCACCACGAGGATTTGACGGTTGGGTCCCCTAATTTCCAGTCGCCCTTTAAAAGGGGTAATATATAAGATATTTTCTCCTTCCTTTCAACATGACTTCAATGTGTAACAGTAGCACATTTGGCCCATATTCGAGAGGTCCAGGATTCGAGTTAAGGCGAAGGCACTGCACATTTTTCACGTCTCCTGTTTAAAAAAAAATCCATTAAATCTATACAGTGACATACATTATTATGCCACTTAGTTGTAACTGACTATTCTTCACATATTGTGAGAAGACGCATATTTCTGCCGCCTTTATAAAATATTTATCACAGGAAACCATATACTCTTTAGGACTATATTTTCTTTAACACCGTGTCCCTAATATATCTATAACTGAATGGAAGTAAATGTAACAAAATGCACTGTTAAATAATATTTTTACTTTATCGTAATAGATTACAAATTTTCTTAATGAGATTGTAATCTAAAATAAGTGTTCTTAGCAGCATGACTTTACCAAAGCACAGTAGATGCAAAACAAATTTAACATAAGTTTTTCCAAAAGGAGTTTATTGCCTGACTTTATTTTTTATGCATATTTATATTATTAAAAATATTATATGACCTTTTTCTAAAGTCATCATATTTTATATAATGCGGACTCAAAATTTTGCTGTGATACATACTTTGTATTCAAGGTGCGATTAGTCGAATACTGATCATATAGCTGATCAAATATGCCTGCATATAAAATGTAGATATACACAAAAGACGTATTTTATGTTCAATAAAAATGCACGTAACGAATAGAATGTACGATAACTTGTTTAACCACGCATGAAGTCTATAATGTATTAAACTGCTAATGAGAAAGTATATTAACGTTCATCTTAGAAGCAAGCGAATTATTCTTTGGGTACCCACGTTAAGTTTTGTCACAACAATACATATTTTTTACAATACGTAACAGTCCTGCAATATAGGTTGTATTTTCGTATTACCTTTGTTACGTCTAGAGGTCAGATGTTTTCTTAATTTAACTGTTTATGATGTTTCACTATTTGTGCTATTTAGCAGTTTATTCTATCACTGTTTATGCTTAATTTCACTCTTTATGCATAAGCATTATTGCTTTATTTTTATGAATATTACTTATCTTACTACATATAAAACATTAAATATGTATTCCATTAAAGAGAATAAAAAACATTTTTATGCAAAACTTTTTTAGAAACCACTCATGTAGTAAATATTATGCCCCTATTCCCTTATGTCCGTTAAAAAAATCCTGCATTTCTATCGATCATTGTCTTATTAATTATGTTCGAAAAACCGAGCACTTCTTTTGAAGTTCCTGGTACCGGTCTTATATCCTGGTTATTTCTTCAAAAGGCTCTTTAGTGCTGCTTTTGAAGCAAAGGGAATTTTTCTTTTCTCTATCTTGAATGTTTATTTTAATCAATGTAGGAAATACCCTCATGTCTTCACATTATCTTCATGTAATCTTAGCAATAGCATCATCACGTAACACTATTCCATAAAAATTTATGTGAGTATTCAGTTACAAGGTTTTTTAAATAGATGTCTAAATAAGTTTGACCTGTCACCATTTAAGCATTTTCTGACTTATATATTATTTGAACATGTCACAAAATATCAGGAAAAAGAAAACACAACCATCTGGGTGTAGTAAAGAGTATTACCATTTGATGTCACGATTGCGAATAAACAAATAGACTGACTGATGTATAGTGCTATGTAATATTGCTTCCTAATTCTGATTAGGATTTCCTTAAGTGATGTAATACATCATTTAAGGAAGTGAGATTTACTGTCAGAAATTAAACGTTGTGCTCTAAAGTCTACATCAAACCGATTCCTGATATTATACTTGAATTCGCTGCTATAAGTACTGTTTAAGTTATTGATGTCGCCACTTAACTTGTTAAATATATTTATTTCTCAATTAAAAATTTAAAGTAAATTTTAATTACAATCTAAATAATAAATTAAATTTGTAAGATGAAATTTCTGTCAACTGATACTCCTTCGGAAATGTTACATTGAAAAGTTACTAAGATTTAATTATTTACTCTTCTAGCGTAAAAACTGAAATATGCAGAAAGAAGATTAATTAATGGGATTGTCCTTATTATGTGTTAGTAAATATCGTATTCAATATAATTGCGCAAATTTGTATTCCTCACCTCCAAAACATTTAAATAAATTTGAAGTAAAAGAATTTGAAAATGATTTTAAAAAACAGAACGTGATTATTAGACTTACCATCATCGGAGTCATACAGATATATCACTGATTTCCATTGGTAATACTTGATAATGTCTATGATAGCTTTGAGGTATTGTGGTTTCATATTAACACCATATTGCATAGGTCTGTTGAAGTTCTTCTGAGGAAGCGAAGGACTTAAAAATGGCATATGAAATGTGTTAGTATAAGCTGCTAATGTCTCATATGTTGCTTCTGTTGTCGGAGCAAGCAGAGTAAAAATGCCTCTGTTCATTTGCGAGCATACTGGAACAAGAAAAATAATTATATGTAAGTAATCATGTTAAGCTATTACAAAACGTATTATGTTGCTCATGTATCTCTTTTGTAACAAATATTTCAACAGTTGAATAATGAACAAGAATTACAAAAATTAATTTTTCTAAAAATATAAACAATAATAAAAAATTAATAATAATGTATATATTGTTCGAAATTAGAAAACTGCATGTATATATAGGGAACATAATATTACTGATTTATATGAAACATAATACGAGGGATATTTCCAAAGCTCTAGGAATTCAGACTTTTTTTTTTTTAAATTTTTGTCCGTTTTCATCAGCAATGCAGTTGAGTTCTTCAACATAATCATCATTTAATTTAATTCACTTTTCCCAGCAAAAAGAAAAATTTTGTGTCGTTCTTAAAGAACCTTTTTTGTGATCCTATGTCATAAAAACACCTATTTATGCTATGGTTAGACTGTAAAATTGAATAACCCGTAAAGGGTGTTTTCATATGGAGGAACAGGTGTGTGAACAGAACACTTTTTGCAGACGGAAAATGTTCTGAATATTTCCCAACCTCTTTTCGAAGAAAATGAAAGTGATTGCTGTTCGTATTTTGCATAGTTATAAAAACAGTACAACAAAAATGTACCTGTATTATTAGTCAAAAAAATGAATTGGATGGGGTAGCTGCATAATCATTTCAAGACTTGTCTCTGGAGGCTAGAGCTGCCTATTAGTTTTAGAAATGGAACTAGAGCTTAATTTCTCAAACACTGGAAATACCCTACGTATAAAAAGAAACTTGTTAACTTAAGTACTGAATTTTGCCTCAACTGTGCTGAAAGCTGCCGTAATAGGTTTAAGTGAGAGGTAAAACACATAGCAATCATAGATTGTTGTTAGATATCAACCAATTGTAAAATTTGATTTAATATGCATGTTTGCCTGCGAATAATATAGAGATGATAAATAAGTAGTGCTTAAAATCTCAAAAGATTATATTCGAATTCTCTACTTCCAAAAAAGTTTTCTCTTCTCTTCCATTAGATACTAAATACTCTGTTGCTCTATTAGATACTTCATTAGTTTATGAGTTTTCACAAAACGCTTTGGATATTAAATGCTACTTAGTTATACTTCTATTACTTATAAAAAAACATGATTATACCTCGAAACAAAGGTTTCGCTTGATTCACTAGTAACAAAAGTCTACGTTAGCAGTTTTCTTATATCTATGTTTTCACTTATTTGTTGATCAGTTCATATGTTTAACTTCACATGTTAGTTTGTATAATATGTTAAAAGATTACAAAAGCATTTACAATACTAGCTAGCAAATCCTTTCGCAAGGTATTTAATTAAATACTGGTTCAACATTTTGAAGATGCTTTCAACAGTCAAATATCTGAGTACCTTTTATGAAAACAAAAATAAAATTATGCTTTAATTAGCAAGACAAATTATGTTATTCTATTTTCTAAAAGGAAGTAATTCTTCCCCTCTTTGTTTGAAGTCATATCATCTTCTTTGCGTATATTAAGGCAGGGAATATTAAAAGTGCTTAAAATCGGATGCTTCAAAGGATTAATTATTACAAATGGCTGGATAACACAATGCTCTTTACTTCTAAAAATCCACAGTCATAATAGAACGCTACGAAGAGCAAGGGGATACAGTAAATAGTGAAATATAAATGCAATAAATAGTGAATACAATAAGTAGCGAGATATGTGTTCAGCATTCTTAAGATGGTATCACGACGCATTCCAACAAAAAATGGTTAATGCAAATATATGGTGTATGCACCTTTAATGAAACGCGTATATCTCAATAGACCACAAACACGGATTTAGCCTACAAAAATATTTTCCGTTAGTTCCATTACACTGCGGAATTAATTCATTGTAAGAAACATTTTAGCAGCTTTCTAAAGTTTGTCTTAGAAAATTAATTAATGGGATTTTAATTTAATTTAATATTAATTAATGAGATTGTTCTTATTATATGTTAGTAAATACAGTATTAAATTTAATTACGCAAGTTGTGTACCTCTTCTCTAAAACATTTAAATAAATTTGAATTAAGAGACTATGAAAATGATTTTAAAAAACAGAAGGTAATTATGAGACTTACCATCATCAGAGTCATACAGATATATCACTGATTTCCGTTGGTAATACTTGATAATGTCTATGATAGCTTTAAGATATTGTGGTTTCATATTAAGACCGATAAGCATAGGTATGTTGGAAGTTCTTCCGAACACCATATTATATAGGTGTGATCTGCACATTTTAAACACTTTTTCAGTTAAGTTCAAGATTAAATTATTGAATAAAATTCTGTAACGTTTCATGAATAGATTTTAAGGGAACTGAATAGATGTTCCATGCTGTAGATTTCGGGTTCAAAAGGCTTTCAGAAAATAACGAAAGACCTATATGCATTGATCGCTAACTTGATGGCGAAACTTTGGTGGACATGTCATGTAATATACTGGGGGTAGAACGGCTGATATTTATTGTGTATCACAATTTGCATGTTGTCCATAGAGTTGACATTGTACTTACGTTGACCAACCATTACCCTTAAAATGATAATTTTCAGTTATTTCCTTGAATAATAATTATTTTGCTAACTAAAATTGTGTTTAATCGGAATCATATATGTAAACTTTGAGATCCGAAATAAAGTTGTTTGAAAGAAATTACATCCTGATACCACTAATGGCTGTTCTTTCATCACTTATTTGCATTTAGAGATACCACCTAAAGTTCTTTCCTGAAAATAAAATATTCCTAGTAGCTGTTTCCTGAATAAAAAGACCTTGGTTTCTTTTGATATATTCGATCTTGCTCTCTTTTACTCATCTCCAATCTCCATCTCACCCTTTCTTTAGGTCGGCCTCCTAATCAATCTGAATTCTATTAACCTGAGATTGGGTTATTCTTCAGGACATAAAATATAAACATTTTTACCATTTTTTTTGGCGTGCTTGAGTTTCTACACAATGCTCAGGAATTTTGCGTTTCCCTTATATTGAGTGAAAATTCTGAAACTATTATTTTATGATAATTTTCTTAAAAGTGAAAAATACGAATAATTTTGCATAGATAGTTTGAATTTACGTTCAATAAGTGCACTCGAAAAGAAAACTGAATCTATGTTTACGAAAATAAAATAAAAATCGAGTACTAAACAATACTTATTTCTGGGTTATTCAAGACTATATGTTACCACGCGTAAACTTCAATTTTATAACTTTCCCGGTACTCTCATTTATAGTTCATAAAACGCCTTTAGATGAGTTTTAATTCTGTTCTTAATGATTTTTGAATGAATTTAATCACATATTTTTATTATTTCTGATAGTTATTGTAATCAGTATAACATGATAAGTCGTTATAAGGATTACACATTATCTTCTTGGTCTTATATCAAGGAATATACGTATAAGATTGTAAATTTTGAAGATTTTTAGAGATAAACGAATTAAATAATTTGTATTTCAGATTTGGTACAGAAACTGTTACCTTCATATGCATCATACTTAAGGCTTGATATGTTAGTCACCACGTAATAATTTTGTCTGATTGCCTATTTTATTTAATCGCCGGAACGTTTCCTCTTCAAATCTTATCATATATTTGAAATAAACAACTAATAATAATCATTTAGTAATAGACGCAGCCTAATGCATAACAAATTAGCAATAAGGCTCACAGAATGATTTCTGATACCCGAAAAATCATTCTTCATGTGTAAAGAGCTGCTTTGATTGATAACAGAACTCAAGACTTCCTTTTTAAATAAAAGTTATACTCTACCTCTATCGTACTATGGTACTAAAATAATTAATTACTACTCCTAATTTTTCTTGAAATTTCATGGACAGGCAGACTTTACACACGTTACTAATTGTAAACCGTTCTTAGACAGAGGTAGCATATATTAATAATCTAATAAGCTAAATAAAAGTCACTCATAAAACTTGAGGCAAACATTGGTTTAAGTACAGTGGGCCTGCAGTTTTCAATTATTTGCGTGTATTATGTTTCTATAATGTACGAAATGGCTGCTGCAGTCTCTTATACAAGTGAATCAAAAACAGAATTAAAAAAAATAAAATAAAAATTAAATTCTTTATTTTTATTAAAAGTATGTTCTTATTTATTATTTTTATTTCAGAACACTATTTCTGATATAGCTTTTCTATTAAATAGCAGTTTTCAAATGATTATTTATTAGTGATCTAAATTAGTTTTCGAATATAATGTATTACTTTTATGGACTGCTTCTAACATTTCTTGCGTTTAGTTGATTTTTTTCAACAATTAATAGACTAAACGTAATTTAGACTATGCATATGATTACATTCCGCTAATAAATTAAATTTTTTAAATAGTTCCTAAAACTGTAACAAACTGCATATAAATGATTTTTCCTTGCTGCAGCCTTCTGTAAAAAATTCTTGGGCTGCAGTTTACGATGGAATACTTCTTGTCGGTTATAATCCAGAATGTCGTATTTCCGATATCCAACTCATGCGAGAGGTATGAAAAAGTAGCTCGTAACTTAGATCGGTGGATAGAAATAACGTGTCGTTATTAGTTTAGCCGACACGTTCTTTAGTGATAAATGTGGATTATTGACGGATTCTTCTAGCTCACTAAAAGGTAAGGGTTTCGCCTGATGTTAGACAGAATGCCCAAAGAAATAGCCGTTATGATTTATGGCTAATGTGTTAGTTGGTAAATAGCCTGTTTTTCATTAGTTAATACATTTTTGTAACATATTACGATTGCAATGCTGAATTGCCTCAAATAAAGTAAGTGTGGAAAAACAAAATTTTGCATTACTGCTAACCACTGAATAAAAGTCTTTTATTAACATACGATTTACCTATATTGAAATTTTGATTCTTTTTTACAGCGATTATTTATGCATAAAATTTAGATGTATAATAAATTTATAAAAGGAATAAATTTGCCTAAACTTCATAGCATTTATTAA